GACATTTTTTATTCATTTGGTATTCAGAATCGGCAAACATTCAGATAAAAAGGCCCAGGGCGTTGAATAGACTTTCCTGATTATTCAATATTCATAAAATTATGAATGTAGTTAGCTAACATATAGATATAAAAGACACGAAGAGGAAGTTGAGGAAACTTCTTTTCTTCGATAGACGGAGTATCTCTTTTGTAAAAGACTACCGGGGACAGTTACATGTATATATTGCTGCTTTTGAATTGACACTGAAAGACCAGTATGGTGTCATAGTCATTTAAGCGATCTCATTAAGTCCTTTGCAATATATTTTGATTTTTATGCTAGAACTTTTACCGCTTTGATGTGTTTTGTGTACTACTTGTCTTTTCGTCGTTTTTCTTATTTTGTCAAGGCATTGTCAGTTTGTGTTCAACTTATGAGTTTAAATTCACCTTTTGTATCTTTCGCCTCTCTTGTACATATTGTAGAATGATGGAAAATTTAAAGTTCCTCCAAAAAGATCACTTTAAGAGATGTGTTTACTAAGGAAGTTCCTAACTTGAGTAACTTCATGCATACGGGCCCTGATCGTTTATAATTGATATTTGCAGAATGTCTACCGATACCTAATGGAACTACTTTCTCAACGAATTGCCGATCTTCAATTACAACTACGATTGACAACATAATGTATGACAAACAAAAATGTCAAGCAAAATTATCTTCCCCAAGATCAGACATTTGTGAAAAATCATTCTCATATTTGATCGCAAAGAAGAGAAAAGCCAAAATTTATCATCATTGTAAAGGTTAGTAATACCTGCTAGATAATCAGTATAATACAATGCGAAAAGATTTTGCCTCCACCATTTTTACATGGCCTCTTGTAGTTAGAATAATAAAGTATAATAAATCCACCAAAGAGCATTCACTTTTAAACAGACAGGATGTGTGCTTTTAAATTGTGTTTTTAAATATTTTCTGAAAGCCATAAAATTTTCAACGATATCTGACAAATCTGCTCATAAAGCTTAAATTCGAGGTAAATGTTGAAAATCAGGTAACTTTTGGTTTGAACAAGATTAATTCGTGCCCTTTTGGTGCGTAGAAATACAATGTCAAATGAGCTTTTGTGTGCTCATCAACTGTTAACACAAATAGTCAATGATAATTGGATCGCGATTGAAGCAAAATCAAAAGTTATTGATCAAATTTTACAAGGAGTACCTCGACACCTCTTTCCCTATTATCCTTATATTTCATTTTAAAGAATTATAAAAAAAAAACAAAAACAAAAAAACAAGAGTAATAACGTTTGATACAAGGGTCTTTGCTACAAGAACAACTTTGCATAACTATCACTTTTTCAACCACAGTTTGTTCCGGTACTACTATTTTGCATCTCAATAATTTTATTTGAACCAGTTTCAACAAATGTTATTGAAAAGTTTAAATATTTCCTAAACTAAAAATATGCGTTCAAATATTCATACTAGTTATGAAAGGTACCAGGCTTATGATTTAATTCAGACGCGCGTTTCGTCTTCATAAGACTCATCAGTGACGCTCAGATCAAAATATTTAGAAAGCCAAACAAGTACAAATTTGAAGAGCATTGAGGACCCAAATTTCCAAAAAGTTGTGCCAAATACGGCTAAGGTAATCTTACACACGTTCATAATTTGTAGTCATACATTGTGAATTCATTTTAATATGATATGATCAAGTTTGTGTACCTTTATTTTTTTTCGCCGCCAGCATTACAAGTCTTTGGATCGGATGTCGAACCCTTACTTAAGGTCATATAGCTTCTATCTGTTCCATATATTTATTTATCCCTGGCTTTCAAATATTTAGGTAGAATTTTTCTGATGAAGGTAAATCCAGAAAAATTTTTCGACGCACGAAATGCATAAAGTGTTATTTCCCCTTACTCTCTCTCTTTCTCTTTCGTGATGCATTCTGCAAACAGACATATATGTTGAAGGAAAAAAAAATACATTGGTCAAAGTAGTCCTATTTGTTTGTCATCAATTAATGAAAACACTTCATTTTAGATCATACAGTCTGCAAGAGCTGAATTCCAATTTTTTTAATCGTGTACATGCTCATATATAAAACTTATTTTAGGAGTACTACACATTGAAATTAAAATAAAAATCTTGTTATTAAACGAAAACATCTACTTTGCTATATAAACATTTTGACACTGAGTGCAGGGAAGGTCACTTCAAATACCTACCCCCAAAAAAGAAAAATAAAACTGTCTAAGAGTTCATAATATTACCCAAAACATTAGAAAGAGATTGAACAATGTAAATGTTAAATTATCTTGTGTAACATATTATAAAAAGAGGATTATAACTCCGTTATGTGTGCCCGACCCATTTAGTTTCTTTTCCCCCAAGTATTTGCACATTAAGCACGAACAAATAACTGGATATTTAGTTGTACAATTATTTTGACGAAAAGGTAAATTGAACGAACTTTCATTTCAAAAAGGTTTCTTAATTTCGTCTACCTCAATTTGAATAGTAATCGTTGATTATTTTTTGATGTGATAGTTCCGTTTCATAGATAAGCAGGTCATTTATGTTATCCTCAGTATTTATTTTACCAATTAAATGAAGTACAAAAAACTTCCCAATTATACCAGTTTTGTAATTGTGTACGCCAGACGGGTGTTTCGTCTACAAAAGATTCATCAGTGACACTCGAATCAGAAAAGTGAAAAGGCCAAATAAAGGAACGAAGTTGTAGGGCGTTTAGGGCCAAAAATTCCGAAAGGATTTACCCAAAACAGGTTAAAAGCTATTCCTGAGGTATAAAATCTTTACTATTTCGAACAACACAATCAGTTAATTTATACATTTGACAAGACCAATGATCATTAGTGTCAATATGGAAGTTGCTTCTACTGTATCAGCGGTAATATATTGCTAAAAATAGATTTTTGGCATTTTAACAGATAAAGTTTCTCATTATCGTATTTCAGCTTAATTATAAGTTTGTGCCTGGTTTTGTTTCTTATAAAATAACAATGTTTCAAGTAAGAAAAGTATACCGAAGAGTATTTTATAACAAGACACAATTACAGTATTTCTCCCATTTATTTGTATTGTAGTCCTGTCATGTAATGTTGTCATTTTAATGTTATATCTAACATTGCCATAAAAGCGGGAGGATTGGCTAGCCACAAAACCTGGTTCAACCCACCATTTTTTTCTTAAAATGTCCTGTACCAAGTCAGGAAAGTGGCCATTGCTATATTATAGCTCGTTTCTGTGTGTGTTACATTTTAATGTTGTGTTTCTGTGTCGTAGTTCTCCTCTTATATTTGATGTGTTTCCTTCAGCTTTACTTTGTAACCCGGATTTGTTTTTTTCTCAATCGATTTATTATGAATTTCGAACAGCGGTGTACTACTGTTGCCTTTATTTTTGTATACATTAGTCACACGCGTCCTTGTATTGAGCTATGTAATGAAATTTCCCTCAAAAAGAACAGTTTAACAATATTAAATATTTTGGCTTTGATGTGCTGCTGACGAATGCACATTAAGAGTAGTTAAAAGAATGTATAAAAGTTTGTCATGATTATTTTAGGTGGCAGTAAAATTCTTAGTGATGACATAAGAACTGAAACTCGTGGTAGGTTAATTTATCGATACAAATCTTAAGAGATTCATAACAATGAAAGGAAATAGATAAATGAAATAAGGAAAATCAAATATATAAACATAAACGAGTATCTTAAGTGCTGTAAGTAAAAAGATCCAGCAGCTTATTCTTCTTTTTGTTTTTCTGTTCTGAAGGATAAGCATATTTCATATAAAATACAATAGGTTCTGACCTAGAATGTAAGTAACCAAATCATAGCAAAATATTTTTAACCCCAGGTCAATATGAGAATTGTGACTAGAAATAAATAACCAAACGTCACAATCGACCGACTGTAGCTCATTGAGTGAACGAAAGAAACTTTCAATTATTTATCATTGATTTAAAAATGCGATATTCCAAAAACAATCCCTATTTTTTAGTGTTTTTCAAATTTTACTGAAATATCAAATACATATCTTTTATACAAAGTGACATTGGTATATGATGTTCTTGATTGCCTTTTTTTGTCATTGTTGTATAGTCACTTCACTGGTTTTAATAAGCCTGCACCACACAGAAGTAAGTTTGACTGTGTTTCTTTTTTATAGGAATTGGGTTTGACCGTCATTTTACAACAGGGTAAAACACAGAAAAAGACAAATAAATATCAGCCAAAGAGTTGTTTGAATCAAACATACAATTAATGTCACAACTCTTAAAATCTATATTTTTCATTAAGTATTAAAAGATATGTTGGATATATGCAAAGAGACAGTACCCGGAACATTTGTAGCGGTCAATATATGGTTTTAAAAATAGGCAGGTATCTAAACAATATGTAAAGCTCTAAACCACCATAGAGTATACAACAATGTAATTAGATTTAACAGCGATAAAAAAATATACTGTCAATATCCAATTCTCTAAATTACAAACAATTTAGATATAAAAAAGACAACTTTTGAAGTTCCTCATAAGCATGTGACTGAAAGAAACAGTTTGTTGTCATTGTGAATAAGAAATAAAAACAAACATATATTCATATTATATAGTGTAAGTAAAGGAAATTACAACGTTGGACTGTTTATTAAACGATTGTAATTGTGCATCAATGTTAAGAACAAAGGATTTAAATATAACCTGAAATTGCATACCACATTTGAAGGAATTAGTAAACAACATAATAAAGATTTAAACAATGATTCGATCGATACACACATTAAAGTACATATTTGATCTTAAAAAAATAAATAAAAAAAACTATTTCAGATCGGTTTGATATTCATTTGTAGGCTGTATATCAACCGATGCTGGTACCACAGCTATTATCACCTGTCCAGTTACAACTGTACTTACGATTGGCGATTTACGATATGGTGAAAGTAGTTGTCCAGCTTACAAACCTATGGCAAAAAGTATGAAATATAGGAAAACAGTTTGCAAAGATTCTTATACATGCTCCGTACCAACCTCCAAAGCCAATAACCAAAAAGCAAGTGTTTATTTTCAATGCAAAGGTAAGTTTATACTTGAAACAATAAAACAGCAGAATATACTACTCTGTAATCAGATTTTGATTCAAATTTCACTGCCCTTTTTCAAATGTCTTTTAATGATAAATTATGTATTGTTAGGCAGCGAAATGCATCTGAAACTCTAACACTTGAAAATAGTATTGTTTATATATGTTTCGTAGTCTACAGCACACTAACCTGTCCTAATATCCTTTTTAATTTTATATTTAACATTTTTTGTAGTCTATGAAATGTTGTATTCACAGTGTCAAATTTACGTAAACATATGTTATCTTTTCGATATCAGCAACGTATTTTCAAGAAGTTATTTTTTTTGGAAGATGAAAAATACAAAAGTATTGATATGAATAAAAGATCTTTTTGATAGGGCTGTTGTTCTATTTTTTTTTCCAAAATACTATGTTGCCATTAATTAGTGTGGTCCAAGATATTATACGATAATTATTTCATGATACTGACTTCATAGTGATTTCACAAATTACATTACTGCATTTAAGATACTACAATTTATATTGCCGTTCTGTTTTCAGTACAAATATTTCCGAGGATTGTAGAAATCATTTTAAGAAGGATTTTTTTTGAGTTAATTGTATATACAATGACTACTATAACTCATCCTTTCCATTTGTTGAAATACTTCCTACGGGATAGATATATGAGGGTATATATTCAATCGTTCTTTTTGTATGAAATATCACTTTACTTACCATATACATTTCATAGTAGTATTTTAACAACACAAAATTACTAGTGCTGGTAAATACTAGCGGACAAGACCTCTAAAAAATAGAATAAGAGAAGTACCAGGACCATCCTTCTGCGTCATTCATTGAAATCATTTGAATATCGTTTCAAACAAACAATATCAAATGTTTATTATTGCAATGAATCATTTTTTAAAATCCCCGTTTAAGGTAAAGAAGCATGGCTTGTTCTTTTTTTTTCATTTTACAATTATTGTTTTATATCGGTCGAGATCAAATTGTTTTCATTATATTCTTTTCTGATTTCTAGTTCATCCAGATTTGTTTTCTGCTCAATTTATGTTTTCTCTATGAGATATATCACAACCCACAATAACACTGCCTCTAATCTTTTTAATTGGTGGCTTATGATTATCACCTAATGATTTAATACAATGTTTTACTGTGAAAAACAAGCCCTTATAGGGTTCTGTAGGGTTACAAATTAACATGTCACAAACAGATGTGATTTTGTGTAGCGTAAAATATCATTGATCAGATATGCCACCGGAGAATTTAGGTAAAAACGGACATATCTGCGCAACTTTACCAGAAACAAGTTTCATTGTTTTACTGAAGCTTACAAATGTATACCACGACTGAATTTTGTTCCATATTTATATATCAGAGGATTACATTTGTGACATCACAATCGACGCAACGCGGACCGAAATGTGGCTACGACAAGTCTATTATATTAACAAAATAATAAAACACTAAACCAGATTCTCAGTAGATAAGTTTAGTAATTGAAGGTTATAAAATTTAAACGAACTACCCGACTTTTCCTTGAATGTAAGAAGTTAATGCTAACTGCAATATATTCGCTTATAGATACATTTGTATGGGAAACATACTTGTTTATGATAAAAGAGGGCCAACCATGTAAATGTATTATGAGTAACTGAATATAAAAAGAAAATAAGAATTTGTTGTTTTTATCTAATCGCAGACCTCTCTTTCTTCTTCGAGTATATTCACATTAAGCAAAAATACATAAAAGGAAACTGGATTTCGAAATTATTATGACATATTAATTTAAAAATAGAAAGTGATCGAATTTCGATTTTTTTCTTAACAGACAGTAGTTATAAATTTTCGGCCATTTTAGCAAATTAAATATTATATGATCATATAAGTTCACACTTATTTATTACATAAAATCTTTTTAAATAATTGAATTTAAAGAAAATATGGTTCCATCTCCCTAAGGCATAGTTGACCTTAGATGAACTTGGCTATTCATATTAGGTGCAACGAATTCATACACCGCTAGTATGGTTTTCTAATGTTTAGGTTTGAATGTGCTTGATGAAGTTAATAGAAAACGCTCAAGACGCACTAAATGTAAAATGTTTCTTTCGTTTGTGGTTTCATTTAATATTTATTTGTATTGTATTTTTTTTTTGCATTGATCAGTTTTTGTTTTTTTGTTTTGTGTTTTGTGTTTATTTGTGTTTGTTTGTTTGTTTTATTTGCCAAGTTGAAGAAATTAATTATAGTAATAAACAATATAATTAAAGAGATACGTTAGGCATGGATAATCTGCTAGATGAAAATTGCAAAATTACTTTAAACATACCACATGTCCTTATGTTTGTCCACGGATAGCAACCTCTCTAAGTGGTATGATTGCAACTGCTCACTCGACACCAAACCAACCAAGAGGAATATAAACGACTACCGATACATGTAACTGTATGTCCTTTACTAATGAGCAAAATTCATTTTGTATATTTAATTGAAACAACTGTGGTTGTTACGTTAGAAAAATTGTAAAATGCCCCGTCATGCAAATTGTGAAATATTAAAAAAGAAAGAAAACTTCCTTGTTTATGATGTAACAAAATATTAAAATGGCGGACGCAACATTAGCAAGCATTGGATTGCATGCTCGTAATATTGGACAGGCACCTATATAATGTGGCTGGTCTAAATATTTTGGATACTGCTCATCCTTCCCTTGAAGCTTTGACAGTGGTTTAACAGTACATTAATCGAACCATTTGCAAAAATTAGTTGGCCTAATAAATCAGATTGGTACTATGCATCAATACAACTAACACAAATCGACAGACTCTAAGATCTAAGAGTACATCAGGCCATTCAAACAATAATGTTAACTTAAAATACACCATGCGTTAACGGTGCTAGATTAGTTCATGCTTTTGTTACAGCTCGTGATTCCTGATCCTCAATAACCTTTGTAAGTTTGTAGTACAGAAAACTTTGTACGGAATATTATTAAAGGCCAACGGTATACTATGCTTCAAAAATATATACGGTAAAAGACCTTAAATTGGGCTCTAGATATTTGATTTTTTATTTTTTTAATTCGGGGGCTAGTAAACTATCTTGCATGCAGTCGAATATAACTGTTCTAAAAAAATATTTCAGGTGGCAATGCAATACCAAGTGACGATATAACTAGGAAATATCATGGTAGGTTAATTTATCAATAAATGTTTGTCGATATCATTGCTGGTTAACTGTTTGCCCCAGAAGGCATCATCTATCCCGTAGTCGCTGCTTCGGTACTGCAGTAAAAGCATATTAAAAAAAAACTTTTGCTCAGGAATATCATGTTCAAACTCCATCACGCAAAAGTGACCTTAGGTGAATAAGGCTATTCTTTTTTATGTGATATCTTTGCTACCTATCGGCAATCATCCACCTAAGACAAGCTTACTAGGATGTAAACAACTGCAGATTACCGCATTATCGATCATTTAAATAAACTTATTCTATAAGGTTGTCTTTTTTACACTGTAATAAGATCTTCTTATCAATAAAATGAAACCTAAGTAAATAGTGTTGCTTTACATCTTTGTATATTTACGTTCCTACATTATGTCGATAGTTTTTTTTTGGCATTGTACAAGATCAACATTTTCTCTGCTTGTTTGTGACGTCTTGAACATTTATCCATTAGATGTGTATTGTTTGATATTTTAAGTCTCTCAACTACATGATTTTGTTTAATTGGCTTTGAACTAGCTTTCATTAACTGCAAGTACTCTTCGGTCGGTATTTTGTGTCTTAAATCTTCTTGTTAGTTGTTTGTTGTGTGCTTCATGTTGGCCTGATGACTCAAACATTGTTTTTTCAACTTTTCAATAGTTTGTTCTTATATTGGGATGTTACTCCAGATTACGGTAAGGTTGGGTACTTACAAACAAGCTTTAACCCGCGACACTCTGTTTTTTTTTGCCTGTCCCAAGTCTGGAGCCTGTTATTTAGTGGTTGTCGTTTGTTGCTGTGAATCATATTTGTTTTTTGTTTATTGTTTTTTAAAATAAATCAGGGTGTCAGTTTCTTCGTTTGAATTTTTAAAAATTTTTCATGGTGGGACCTTTAATAGTTTGCTGTGGGGTACCAATTTAGCTCTTTGATGAAGGCTGTACGTTGACCTAACGTCGTTAACTTGTACCTCATTTGTTTCTGTTGGAAAGAGACAAATACTTTTTTAACATTTTATAATTCTATATATTTTATAATTGGGATAATTTGCTGGTAATTGTTGATCCTTAATGGTCTCTGTAAGTTTATATATCAAATCGTTGTTGGATTTTGGCCAATATTAGCTTGGTTTTTTTAATTATTGCAATTGTAAAACTATACCGGATGATGACATTATTTCCGATAGCATGACATTTTAAATTTATTCTATTCATAAAAACTGTCCATTGTTGAACACTTGATATTTTATTGTGTCATATAAGTTACTTTCTGTCTCTTTGACGTTTTTCTACATCTCATTTTGTTCATTTAAAATTGAAACCTTGCATGACTGACATCGACAGTATCATTCATGTTTTACATATGACCCAAGTTATTCTCGCTTTACAATGCTGAATGTACGCTTCATATGATCGTTTTTAATAGATTTAGATACACAAAAAAACTTCTAAAACATTGACATCAAAATAAGTGTTTGTGTAAAAAGATTAGGCGTAGCTTTATTCTTCTCATGTTAAACTAATAAAAGGTCTGGTTTATTTAGGTAATCAACTTTCAGGTAGGACACAAATCGTAACACGATGAATTAAAAACTTAACCTTTCCACAAATAATAGCATTTCATCATTTAAAGTTATCTAAACAGCCTACCGTGCCAAAAATAATCCCTAAGTATACCGCGAAACGAAGACTTTATATGAAATATTAAAACCACATTTCTCAACTATTGAAAAGAAATGATGTTTTGGATTTCATCTAAAAATGTCTTCTTAACAGATTTTACTTCAATTTATTCGTAATGAATACTGCGATTTTATGAGAATTTCTTGACATCACGATTACTCCAAATGAATTATATATTGCTCTATTATCTTTTGAAATGAATGTATTTTGACTTTTTTTTACAGACGGTTTTAAATTTGCTGTAATTGCTGGAGGAGTAGTAGGAGTGGTTCTCATCATATTTTTTATTGTTGGAGTTGTTCTATTAAGGTACATGACTAGAACGCCTATGTTGTGTTGTATATATATTGACATATTCTAAAAAAAAAGTAAAAAGAAAAAACTGCATAAATGAGAATGAGAAGAGATAGCACCATTTTGACAATACAACCTGGTAGGATTTGTTATTTAAGGCAATGGAGCAGGTAATTTTTCCCTTGCCCTCGCATGATTACAAGACGTTTTTATAGGATTATATAGTTTGTTAAATGAATGATTTAATTGTATTGACGGAAAACGGACAAAAAAACCCAACAACAATGGATTTGTTCATATTTTACAATGCTGGTAGCTATAGCAAAGAGAGCACACTTTGAAATTTCTCGCCATGTTTACTGGTTATGATATAATATTTTTGTCGAAAGTATGGCTACATCAATCACATATACGTATTGTTATCAATGTTCCAATGAAACTAGATCAAGGTCAAGTAAATCACGTCAGAGGTACACGTACGAAAGAAGATGGCATTATGTTTTACGGTTTGGGCGCCTGCTCGTTTGTCTGTCCGTTCTGTATCGGGTTGATATTAGTTTATGGTCATGGTAGCTAACCATGAAGATGTTGTCACATCAGGTAAAAATTAAAATCACGTTTTCATTATAATGTTAACTTAGCAAATTATATGCCAAATATGGGTTTCGACCCTGGTTTGATGGTTAACTAACTTTTGAATATAGTGCGAGTGGGAACACTAGTTAAATTGTAATGGAAAGTATTTAAGCTGTAAAATGGAATTAGAATTACAAAACAATATACAACTTTTCTTAAACCTGTCTGAAATGTAGAGTGAGGGATACAAATAAAGCATTTAACTCAAAACCATGTTTGTCTTAAAGAAGAAAAACATATAACTGATTTAAAACACCTATCTTCACCTTTTCAGAAGACGTTATCAATCACGTACTACACAGACGCCGAGTAAGAAAAACATAATGACAAAATCAAAGCCGCCATATGATCCTACTGAAGGGCAATCAGAACTAGAACATAGTCCTCAAGCTCTTTTGATGAATTCTTCTAACAACATACATCTGCCAACATTACATGCAGTTAATGTGGCCAATACGACAAATGAAGAGTCAAACTCGTACTCACATATTCGGAACACTGGGGATGATTCTGACGTCATGTATGATCATACAGTACACCATAATGTCCATAACACATGTGATGGTGATTACGGCATCACATTTAGGAGAATTACAGAGGATGACTACGATGTGTCTGGGAACTATCGTCAGTCACTGACAAACAGAGAAGACCTTGTTTACAACTAAATGTTAAGAGGTCCAACGATTTTTTTAATGATCTTTGACTGAAATGACTTATTTAGATCAAGTACACAGTATTTGACCGGCTTATACTGGTTTGTTTATTGTGTATGTAAATTTTTAGAGTATACTGAAAGCAAAATCTTAAACATAATTTTAAAATTGGCGAAATTTTGCAATTCAGGAGTATGAAACCAAAGTAGTATTTCCATATATTATTTCTATGTTCATTATTTTTTTTTTAACTGCACGAAGAAACCGCGCCTCTATAATTTAGATGTTTATTGAAAGAATGGCCGGATGGATCTATCAAATGATAAGAATGGTATGCGTTGCTCTTCTGCATAGCTTCAAACATCTAGAGATGCTAGGTTTGGCGCCGGCATACTGTGACAAGATGTCGTGAAATGTCGTTCTTTGAATTGTTTAATTGAATTAACGTGTTACTTTTGTGCAAAGAAGGTTTGGTTTTTATATGTTTATAACATGTAATTGTCCTGAACATATTCAACCTTCTCAGCATCTTATTCTCAAGTCTAAAGTTTATATATCTGATAATAAAAGTTAAGAAGTGTCTCGTACAAAAACAAAGTAAGACGGTATTTCTAATCTTAACTTCTATGTTATATCGTACATAACTAAAGCTTTGATATTCAAACTCGGGTCAGAAAGGGCATCCATGGCAATAAATGTATTAATTTCTTTATTCAAAATTGTTATTTCTGACGATGGTCTGGCTTTTTTGAATACAGAGTGGCTAACTATAAATACTGTCGATTTCAATAGGACGTGTGAGCAAACTGCAAGAAATCTGTTAACAGTTTTGTTCCTATATTGTTTTAAGCAGCACTGCTATAGCCGGCTTCCTGTAGTAGCGAGGACGTTTTGGTCCTGCTTTCCAAAATATTTGCCGAATTTTATATCTTTTTTCAATTTAGTCGTCAGCCTATAAGGATCTGGATTATGCAGGTTTTTGTTGTGCGTTTTAATTTACGACATGTCGTTTGGATATATGAAAGGGAGAGGTGTGTGCTTGTCTAACCAGTTTAACCATATTTCGTAACTGCAACAATTAGGTTGTCTGACAGTGTGTTGTTCATTGTTGTTTGTCTATGTATGTATATATATTTGCTCTAAAGAGTCGATTGACAGTGTTGCTGATGTCTACTGTAGTTATCAATACTTTTGTCAATTCCTTTTATCTTTCAATGTATTATGTAATGGTTACATCTGAGTTCTAAGGAGCTAAATTCATTAGAGAACAGAAAACATTTTTTGGGAGATGTACCTTGTGATAGTTTTAACTAACCGTACATTAGCATATTGACGATAATGTAGATTATTTAAATCCAGAAGGATAAAAGGATAAAAGGTTCAATTTCCTGGCTTTGTCAGAGTAAGCCTATTGTCTTTGAACCCTGTGTGTGGTGTAATTTGTCAAAATGTCGGAAAATCTGACATTTCCCTCTGAAAAATAAAAAAAATAAATAATGCGTAATGTACAAAAGAATCATATCAGTCAGCTCACGCTTTAATATTTGTTTTTCAAAATCTAAACACAGAAAGTAAAAACCTGTAAATATTTCTTCTATGCAAATAGCTTTTCAGTTGATTGGTACAAAAAATTATCATCTAAATATAATTCAAAGATGTTGTACTTGTTGTGTCAACTGCAGCAAAGTCTGTTTTTATTATTGATACTAAACATGATTTATTGATGATCAGGCATAATTATTAAAGATCAAAGTTTATTTGGATCAAAGGATATTTGATCACCTGGCAGGTAACCCTGGAGAGAGATATTTATTCGAAATGTTTACAAACTTCATAAATGTACATCTGGCATTTAAACATGTTATATAAGATGCACATTATTTAACAAGTCGGCTTTTGGTATGTATGTTGATTCAATAGTTTTTGAATAGTAATATTCTATACTTCTGACGTGTAAAAACTTTGACGTTTTGGTGGCATCACAAATCTACTTCAACTTCAAGACCACATGTATGTAAATTATGATGTGTGTATATAATTAATTGTAAATTTTTTGAATAAACTATTTCAACTTTTTAAATTCAATTCTGTTTTTTAAGAAGGTAATGTAGAAACGTCACATATACATAAGAATATGGTATGGCTGCAAATAGATCAACTATTCACCAGGGCCCAAACGGCAGGGATGAGAGATGTAAATGTCAAATTAATATGAAAGAAGGAAATGAGGTCGGATTGCCATGAGGCAATTATCAAACAAACTAATAAACCAGAAGCAATTACAATTACCGTACAGCCTTCAACAAAGATCAGAATTTAAACTGTATAGTCAGTTATAATAGACTTCGACATAAAAAATGCGAGACAATTTAAACAAAAAATCTTACAGCCAAACATCACATATAATATCGAGTGTGCATAAACTTCACCTCAATGGCAGGATTCCACTTCCAACTAATGTTCGAGTTTGGTTTAATCCCCCATTTTCTACATAAGGAAATGCAAGTACCAAGTCAGGAATATGACAGTGTTTTCCAGTCCTTTGATGTGTTTGAGTTTTTGAATTTGCCATTTGATAAGGGACTTTCCGATTTGAATTTTTCTTGAAACTCAGTATTTTTGTTATTTTACTTTTTTGGTCAATAAAAGAAACATACCTTAGCTGTTATCCAATACAATATATAGGCCCTTAAATGATGCGTTTACATATGATACTAACAAGCATAAATATTTTGTTTATTAAACAGTTCTATACAATAGCAATTGCAAAGCAAACACATACGATGCATGAAGACCTGAGAAATGCACATATAATAGAAAGACATTACACAAGAATTGTAAGATCCGAATGCTTGAAATGTTTGAATATTCTTAGATAAAGCAACTTTTATACTGACAACGCCATGGTTAAAATAGAAAAGTACAAACAAACGAACAACAATACACAAAACACAGCATGGAAAACTAAAGACATTCGGCAACTACCGAGAAGATTTATGTCCTGGAATCGGCATATGGAAATTTTGCGGGGTTGAACCAAATTTTGTTAATTATCATAAAATCCAGATGTGAAACGGACAATGGTGACTAGGAAATAATTTGAATCTCGTGCACTCTAAAAGATCCGTTCAAACCATTAGTCACAATTTCAAATCCCCGTTTTTATTTAAATAGTTTTATACATTATTTATTCAAGTGTATTCCTATTCAGTTATGATCAGTAATGGTCCTATATTCTGTCCATACTTATATGTTGGTATTGCATAGGTCATGCGTTTCCCAGCCTTCATATGAAGAATGTTTTATACCATGAGCTGATACAAATCTTGCACGTCTTTTAAATGTATGACGGGATATTATTAGCAACATTCAAACATTCATTTCATAGACCATGTAGACCCAGACAAATAATTTCGAAAAAGATCGAAAAAGACAAAATTATGAATAAAGGATATACGTGATGTACGTGATACTTCTGAATTTCAGAAGTAGTTAGAAAAGTATCAGACAAGTGTCAAAGTACTTTTTTAACGTAGAGAAAGCTTTCAGCAGTTGCACGTGCATTGTGGATAATAATTATGACACGAGAAAAATAAGTTGCTTGTTGAATGAAGTTTTTATTTTGTAGAAGATTTATATTTCAAATCAACCGATTGATATGTCTTTATGTGTATAGAACATGATTAGGTTGGAATAGTTTAAAATGCATTTACAGAAGACAGACGAACAATGACGAGAAAAAATATAGTACTTGTAAGGAAATGTGATCACGTATATTTCCAAATAAATGTATCTATAAGTCCACTGTGATTAATAATGATACAGATATAGTTAACAACAATTTAGTACACGATGATTCTTTCTTATTGAAAACTGACAAACTAAAATGAAATTGTTCCTGACACGAAAAGCTCCTCTTGCCTTGACTACAACAGTCGACACACGATCTAATTGTAAATCATTTCCAGCAATCCAATACTTAGATTTCACAGAAGCCTTAATCCGTTTCCTTCACGCCAGGGAATACTACCAAATGTAATATTTTCATTATCGAGTCATTTTTTTCGTTCGTTTACCCGTCCCATTGCAGGTTACAATTTTGGTTTAAGAAGTTGACATTGAAGTTATTGTTACAACGACCTACAATTTAGTAAAGATGGTCAGCATGATGTTAACGTGATTAAATATATTCAAAAGTGGTATTTTTGTCTTCTTCCTACATTTTAAAAAATGCACGTCTAGAATTGGGGTAAATTATCACTTACATGTGTCATTTGAGTATATTTCCAAATAAATGTATCTATAAGTCCACTGTGATTAATAATGATACAGATATAGTTAACAACAATTTAGTACACGATGATTCTTTCTTATTGAAAACTGACAAACTAAGATGAAATTGTTCCTGACACGAAAAGCTCCTCCTGCCTTGACTACAACAGTCGACACACGATCTAATTGTTCTTGAAAGACGCACACACACAAAAACAATAACAACATTTACTCAAATCAAGAATGGTTGCTGATATCGTCAAATGTGTGAGACAAAATTTGGTCCACTTTGTAACACACTATTGACTGATTTTCAGTATCCAAATATAGAATTCGGCAAATAACATGAATAAGCCCAGAGCTATAAGGCAACTTCCAAATCGACTTCTGATACTGTCATGGTTTCAATATTTCCATGACTATTCAAGATAAACAAGATAATCTACAAACACAATACGGATATATCCTCAATTAGTTCCATCATTCCTTACTTGATAAATAACTGAAACTACATCAGTGACTACCGCGTGAACGATAAAAAAAGTAAGTGTGAATCGTGGATCTAATAAAAAAAGGCATATAATTTTAATTAGTGAATTCATTTTACTTATTACTTCTACGTGGAAATAGAGGGTACATGTAGAGAAACATATCGTATATTATCAGACTATTACATGGCATATTTTATCAGATTTATTATCTGCCCAATGTGTAATATCAGCCCAAGAGCCGAAGGCTCGAAAGCTGATATTGACAGAGGAACGATAATACATCTGATATGAAAGATGACATGTTATGATCTTTTTATCATATGCTTCAACGTTGGAGAAAAATAACAGTATAATATATTAATCCTTTTAAGTTTTTCTCAAGAAGAAGTTCATAAAGTGAAAAGTTTACGAACGACGGACGCCAAATGTAATGCATGTAATTCATGAAATATTCTATCATATGCCTCAACAGAGGAGAAAAACAACAGTACAATATATTTTTATATTGACAATAAAAAAAAAATCAACAAAATATATTGAGCACTGTTTGGAAAAGTCAACATTTGTAAAGTTACTTGCTAAATTATGCTGGAAACTTTGAAAAATGTATTTATTGTATCAATTGTTTTGAATTTTACATTATATATTTTTCCTGTTTCCTAATATTTGTATTGAACCCTAATTTGTTATGTTTTTCTCTGTAAACGTACCATTGAGGTACGTGTATTTTCCGGAATTCGCTGAGTAACGTCGGAATGCCATGCGATAACGTTACGGAAAGGCATGCAACATTAGCCGGAAGTAGTTGATAAATTTTTCATATCAGCACGCTAAGCACTATTTCGGAAAATATGGAATTCACGTAAATTTAATGCTATTATCATACTGGAAAAATTAAAAGTTTTTACTCTTAGCATATGATAAATCAGGGTACATAACACCTAGGTGATATCGAGATACAGTTTTAATAACATATCCTCCAATTTACATGGAGGATAAACGTGCACTTCATACCTTATAACAATAACGGTACCAATTTTACAGGGCCAGATGCGCACTTCGTAAATCAATGTCTCTTCAGTTACTAA